CGGGGGTGCTGCATGCCAAGGCTGATTTACTTTACATGCTCCTGATTTTTAGACAGAGACTACAAACTAGTAGATAGTAGAGGGAGCTAGACTAGAGAGGGGGGAACTAAAGTAGGTTAGGTTCGGGATATCGGGGATTTGGAGAGCGGGTGCTAAGGGGGTAAGCTGCTAGCTCTTTAGATGGTAGTTGGGGACTAGTGATTTGGTTTGTATTGCGATTGTTCTTGGTTTGTTCTTTCGTGGTTAGTTTGGATGGAGTACAACGGAGTAGTTAGGATGTTTGCATGTGTTATTGAGGTGGTGTAAGTAGTTAGTCTTGTAAAGAGAAGAGTGTCTAGGAGTAGCGTGTTGACTGTTACTGTGACGAAATACTTGTCTCTTCCAGATAAAAGTACTTTGTACTTGGTACCTTTAGAATGAATACTGTGGGCACTATAAGCACCTACTGTTAGTAAGTAGACGGGATGTGCCCTAAGCGTGATATGTATCTGCTAAAGGTTGTGCTTAAAACCTCGGAAGTATATGGTTTAGTTGCAGGACACTATAACACACTCTACTATGGTGGTCTACTTTGTTTTCTAGCCATTGATGGGAAGAGAGGTACTTGTTGTGTTGTCGATCATCCTACCTTGTTTTCGTTGCTATTCAGCCTTGTAGTAGTACTTTTGACTAGTTGTTATAGCAGTGTGCAACACTGCATGCATGCATAGCTGTCACCATGGACAGCCCTAAACTAGTAATTATATCGAACTCTCCAACACCCCCTCTACTATAACACCCCCTCTTAACCTCCAGCCTTATCACAGCTTTGACACCCAAGCCAATATTCCCATATACTCCATGACAGAAGTCTTAGCACAGCAACGTCCAACCAAGCTTTGTGCCCAGAAAGGGCACAAGCAACAAGCTCTACTACCAAGAACCTGAAGCGAGTCATGACCCGAGTATACCAAGAAAAATGTACCAAACTACAACTTTACCCATAGCACCCTATTTAGATTCACCATGATCCATTTTGTCTGCTACAATCTTCAGTTCTATCACTTACTTTATCACATACTCCCATGAATCATTTAATTCTGTCCGATTATGTGCTATGAACTCCATTAGAACTCAGCTACAAAGCATTTACAGAAGGTACTCGGTATACAACAAGCCAACACCATAAGAAACGATTTCCCATAAATACTGATAAACATATAATAATCATTACCCAAAAAACACAAAGTACCTTTTTTTCTCCCTAAAATAGGCACCAACGGTTCTACATATTAAAAACGTCACACAACATTACTATATTCAACCCCCTCATCTAAGTGAGACAACCAAGTTCCTCCGACCAACTCCACTTAGACTACTACTACTACTTAGTACCTACCCGCTTTGTCTCTCCCCGCCATGAATGGATACATATAGAAACATGACAACTCACTAGATACTAATGAAGTAGTACTTTTGACACTTGACAGGGTGTTGTCTTGGATAGCTCCACCCGTTCTACTTATATTAATTGTCTTGCGCCGTTGAAATTGGGGCCTGGGGGTTGTCTTGCTCTGTTTAGTAGGTGGACAAAAGTACCCTTTGGTTACTAGTACTGGTTCAAGTTGACTTTACTAATAGCATACTGGTAGATTTATCTTAGTATGGATATGATGTTATATTGGAGCCTAGGAATGAGTGAGGGGTACTAGATCCAGAAAAGAAATATTGTTACTCCTTATACATTACATAATGTATAGGTAGGTAGTCTACTACGTACCAGTAGTACTTGGGAGTCAGCAATTTGATTAATAGCATCATTCTACGTTGGCAGTGCCTATTCTAAGCCATCAAGCTATATATGTATTTAGCTATACAGTATTCATCTCTAACCAGTATAGCTGCAACGAGATAGAACCAACTAATAACTTAAATCTTGGGTTACTAGCAAAATCAATAGTATACCGGTTAGTTGCCTTACTAGACATCAAGTGTCATCCGTATACTATTGGTGGCTGCAATTATTGCAAGCGTTGGAAGGATTCACACTAGTTACATACCTTTGTTGTTTATTCACATTGATCTGCGGGGATGAAAAACATCCAATACGCGCCCATATGGTAAATGATAAGCTCAATTATTGCGCTTATCCTTTATTATCATCATCGTTCTCCGTATTGTTCATCTCTTCTCTTCTGTACTACTATAAAAGCAATAGGGGGCGAATTACACTCAGGGGTTGTGAAAGAGTGTGACAGGTTACCCGAAGAAAATAAGAATTACTTATATTCAGGGAAACCGTTAATGGCTTCAACTACGTTCACTAGTCGACGTTGAGATCGTCGCTATCTAATACTATTGACGAAAGTCTTTTTTCGCACTTTGCAGTGATCTGACCGCTGCGCTTATGCATGTCTTGCAGCCAGGCTAGAAGTAAGCATATGGCTATTGATCCCGCGTGTCGCAACGGTCGGCGAGCGTGTTTTCGCCGTTATCTCGATCGCGATCATCAAGATAACTAAAGACAGGGGTCATGCGAAGTTATACCAGAGTTTTGCAGGAAACTTATTTGATATTGCCATAAAGGTGCATGGTAAAGGAGTACATTGCAAGAAAATGCCACTAATATTGGTTCATCAAGGTATAAACATCTAGCTCTGCTCTGACGGAAGTGGGCGTCTCTTGATCTTGAAATCAGGTCGGGCTGGCTGGCCTTCGCTTCCTTCAGACACCTCCATGCGCGAAAGTCGATCCCTCGTCTCCTGTTCAACCTCAGCATGCATTGCTTCCTCGTCGGTTCCATCACCGTTGTCCAACACTCGCTGTGCCGACTCGTCGCCCTTTACCCCTGCGCGACGCTCGTTTTGGATCCGTTCCTGCTCCTGCTTCTTGTCCTTCACTGCCAATGCCGCCTCCTCCCGAGCCACCTCCTGGGCATCTACACTCTGCAGGCCAACAAGACCTAAAATGCGCCCGATGAGAAATTGATAGCGCAAGTGGCCGCTGACGGTCTCGCTAACGTCCAGATTCTCAACGCCGGGCACGTCCTGAACAGGCTGGAGACCTGCCACGCCGAGTTGCAAACTGCTGGTTCGGTAGAGAAGAGCAAGGACGGCGTCATTCTCCGAATACACGTTAATGAGCCGACCGCTAACAACGCTCCGGAGACGACGCCAGTGTGGCGCATTGGACGGCGTAGGCGACCCCATTAAAATTGCCGATTCCACCAGGTCGTATGCGCCACGCTTCGCCAGACTTTGCAGACAGGAGAAAATGACACGAGAACCCATCGAGTAGCCTATCAGTGTGACGGCCCGCTCACCCTGAACCTTGCTGATCAGCGCATCCGCAAGGACCTCGCCCGCTTTGTCTGCTCGGGCTTTGGCAATGCTGAACGGGTTATCAGCCACACGGGCAACCTTAAGAAGACCAAGAGGTAGCATCACGGCGCTCATGATCTGTGCGAAGATGGTCCGGGAAAGCACCTGCCCACCCGCTGCCCAGGCAGCGCTTGTAACCAATAGGTTCATAGCATTTCCAAGCTTCATCAAAGGCTCTGTTTCCCAACGCAGGCCGAAAACCTCGGAATCGGCTCCAATGACTCGCCAGGGGACAACAAAGTTGTCCTCTTCAGTAACCCAGCCGGTAATACCGATCGTGACTCGGAGCATGTGATCATTCTGAGCTGCTTCCCTTTCGTCTTCAGACCTTTGTCGAGAGCCCCGAATAGGTAGGAAAGCAAAATCGTCCACCTCACGGGCATACTTGTCGACCATGCGTCCCGTCATCCGACCCCCGTAGGCACCGAAAAGACCACCCACGATTACTCCACTACCTGCAAGGGCACCTAGATACCCTGCAGCAGCCGTAGCACCCAGGCCTAGGCCTCCCAAGACTGTGCCAAGGCCAGCTGCAACCAGCGGCGCAGCAAGTCCGCCAGTGATGCCGATCAGCGCAGCTCCTGCGACAGAAGCTATGCCAACCTTCCATTTCCTGGAGGAGTCACGTTTCTTTTCTTGGCCTTCTTCGGCGTTCGCAAGCTGAAGGGCAGTGTCAAGCAATCCACGTGCGACCTTGCTCTCGTCGCCATTGAGGATAGTGACATCGAGATTCAGACTTGACGCTACATACAGCATTAGAACTCGTGAGCGAGCGTTATAGTGCTCAAGACTAAGCATCAGAAGCAGTAGCGAGTGAAGAATCAGTAGTCTTTTAGCCTTGGGTAGCTGCGTAAGAGGAGTCTCAACAGGTCGGTACACTTCACGTTGCTTCTCCAGAGAACCTTGGTCCTCGTCTATTTCCGGCTCATGCAATTGTTGAGGTGGGTCTGATTCACTGGCTTCTTCTTCGGATTCCTCATCTCGGTTCACAACTTCACCAATCCTCAGTAGGACCGAGTCTCTCCAATCATCAAAGCTGGTCAGGGACTTGGCCTCTGATTTGAGATCTTGCGCGGTGGGCTTGTATTCGGAATGAGTAGTCACAGCTGTGGCTTCCTCACTCTGCCCATCCGACTGAACAGACAGGGGATCGGTGTCCTTGTCCTGTTCATCTGCTGCTTGGTCACGTGAGAGGTCATTCTCCTTTGAGATTGGACCGTGGAAGTTCTGAACGATCGCATCTCGCATGTGTTGGGTGATCTCCGCGACAAGAACTGTTAGGTCGGCTCGCTGAGGGCGATCCAAGATGGTGGTCAAGTCTTGGTCGCGGTCGCTCTTCGGCGGTGCGGGCGAGGGCGAGGGCCCGGATCCGAACTTGCTAGCATGCTTTTCCTTGAATGACTTCCACATATGTGCAGACGGCCACAAAGTCACGTTCCGAAATGAATTAATTTGACTAGCCTTCCGTCTCCGCTACAGATGGTTCGTGGAGGGACTTCACAGGTTGCACAGAGAATAAGGAGGTTGTCGGTTTCAGCATTGGCAATGAGATCATGGCTGACTCAGCGCCCAGACCATCAGCGTGCAACAGTGAAATGGGTTCGATCAGACAGGCTGAACCCAACTTCAGGACAGCTTAGCTCACGCTGACTTTCCCGTATCGACAATGAAGAACTTCCCCTTGGTCTTGGACGCGTAGGCAAGCGCGTTTCCATCCCAAGTATCCCCATCGGGCCGCTCGTTCCTCGGACTCTCCACTCGCTGGATTCTCTTGTTTCGACCAACCACTCTCTCCTTGGACATGGCCTCTCTCAGCTTTTCCAGTCCAATGGTATTCTCCTGCACCGCTTCCGGACTTTCGTCCCGGATGCTCTGCAGAGGCTCCACGCCAGTGGCATCGATGCGCTGGACCTGCTTCACAAAGTGAATCTGGGATTCGAGCGTTTCAAGCATCTTCTTCTCTTCTTCCTCGTTCGCGGGTTGTGGGAGAGCCGAGAGACGGAGCAGATGGCGGAGTTGCGCTGGAGTCACTGACGGAGCAGATGGTTTGGCGGATTCTTCTGGTAGCAACGAGCGAACAGACCACGTAGGCTTCGCAAGCATGGCGTCAATGTCTGCGTCGCCTGATTGAGAGGCAGAGTACATGCGCCTGGCGGTGCTGCACCGTAAAGGTTGACGACTGATCAACGCAGACAGTCGGGGGAGAGCTGCACGGAGGAACATTTTCGTGGAAACCCTAGCAGATGCAGGAGTATATACTTAATAGATAAACAATAAAAGGAACGAGCAATTGAAGGAACTGTTTCCGTTTGCGACAGTCAAGATGCTATAGAAATACTAACAGAGAAGCAAGAAAAGAAGCACGTCCAATGGACCGGGCGGAAAGTGGCCACCGCCTACGTTGACGGAGCGGCGGGGAGCTCGCCATTCCGCGAGGCTGCCCAGTAAACTAGATCCATCCTCCCATCGTTTCTCCTCATCTTCCAGACATTCATCCCCACTTCTCTTTGCCCGCAAACTGACTTCTAGCATCACTCTCCTCTTCACCTGCTCGGGCCGACAACCTCTTCACAAAATGGCCCAAGATCCCCGAGTTCTGCTCCAACGAGTAATCCCCCCGAACCCCGCTGTCCATCATCGCTATGCTTGGAATACGACGATCGCTAACCCCCATGACGTACATTAGGCCGACAAAGCGCTCAGCAGCGCATCTGGTGGCTTCAGCTTCTTCGGTGGAAGGACAGAGAAGTACGAGAATGCAGCTGATCTCTACACACAAGCTGCGAACGCCTTCCGAGTGCAGAAGCAGAGTAAGCCAGTGATTCTCTCCCCTGTCTCAGATCAACGAGCTCTAACCCATCGCCAAACGATCAGACAAGGAGGCTGGTCTTGCCTTCGAAAAGGCTGCCTCTATTCAGACCCAGAACCTCAACGAGCCCGATGATGCAGCAAACACCCTGACTGAAGCGTTCAAGGTCTACCGCAAATCCGACCCCGAGGACGCCGCTCGCGTGCTCTCCAGTGCTATTCAACACTACGTGCTAAAGGGTAACCTCCGGCGCGCGGCCACGCAACAGCAACATCTGGCCGAGGTGTACGAGGTGGAGCTTGGAGATACGAAAAAGGCGCTGGAAGCCTACGAGAAAGCGGCGGAGTGGTTTGACGGTGACAATGCTGAAGCGTACGTCCATCCTCGGCCTTCTCATATCAAATCTATACTGATGTATTTTTCTCCAGTCTTGCCAACAAGCACTACCTGAAGGCAGCAGACCTGGCCGCTCTCGAAGGCGACTACTACAAGGCTATCGAGCACTACGAGCGGATCGGCCGCTCATCGATCAACAACAACCTGATGAAGTGGTCCGTCAAGGACTACTTCCTGAAGGCTGGCATCTGCCACTTGGCGACCAATGTACGGCTGTCCCTCTCATTGAACCCTTTCAGACATAACTAACCCAACACAGGACCTGGTTGCCGCCAACCGAGCCCTCGAGAACTACCGCGACATCGACACCACCTTCGCCTCGACAAGAGAGCACCAGCTCCTCGTGGACCTGGTCCAGACCATCGAAGCTGGCGACCAGGAGGCATTCGCCGACAAGCTATTCCAATTCGACCAGCTCAGCAAGTTGGACAAGTGGAAGACGACTCTTCTGTTGCGGATCAAGAACAGTATCGAGGAGCAGGGCGAGGATTTCTCTTAGACTTATTCTATTTTATTCTCTTCTATTCCCAGCAACAATATCATTGTTTTCTCTTGTTTTGCTTCCCATCTGTTTCATCCATTCGTTCGTTCTTGTTCTTGGTGGATTAGTTACTTGGGCAGACTTTATAACTGGTGTTCCCTACCCTTACTCCGTTGGCTGGTCCCATAGGTAGATGGATGCTGTGCCGTCGTATACTTGCTTGCGGTTTGTTTTGTTTTTTCTTTTTCTCTTCCGTGCAAAGATATAGTGTGCCCTTGGCTTGCCTGTCTTGCCTGTCCTGTCCTGTTCTATCATACCTATAGCTATTGGCATAGGTTTGCACACGCTGATGGATGCGTGGCATGCCTTACTGACAGATACTATCGATGTTCGTGAATGAAGAACAAAAGTGTCTCCTCATTGCGATTTATACTATCGTAATTAGATTACTGATTATTGTACTGTATAACATGCTTAGTTTAGGAAGTAAACTGAATAGACGAGACAAGTTGCACCACTCAAGTCAAAACAAATCAGGTACTAAATTCAAGCCGACTGTATCCATCTATCTATCTATTTGTCGAACCACTCATCAACGAATGATAATCATAATCAATAACAGTTCATCAATTCATGCCGAAGCGAACTTTTGTGGTATCATGAGTAAGTATATAATGTATGTAAGTAAAATATCTCTATATCGTTCCTGCATGCCATGCTGTGCTATACCTAAAAACGGCTTCCTGAAGCAAGCGCGAACAAACAACGGCACAACACGAGCTCCAATATCATCTTCAATAGACCACATCCTCCAGAGCGCGAGCCTTGCGAGGGAAAACCCGCTTGTACAGACTGATACCGATAGAGTCCTGGGGGTTGATCTTGGCGTCGAAGGTGGCCTTGAAGTAACCGTGCGTACCGAGGGATTCCTTGATGTAACCGCTGCGGCCGCGTCTGGTCCAGAGCTGGAGGGCCTTGAACCACTGGATGTCCTCGGGGTTGAAGAACATGTAGCGGACGGTGACGACACGCTTGTGGATCTTGTAAGGGTGGCCGGTGAGAATGGCGCGCTTGGCGACAACGCGGGACTGGTCGGGGGCCACGATGGTGCCGTTTCCGATGAGTTCGAGGTTGTCGAAGTTGTTGAGGGAGTCGTCCTCGGCGGAGTCCATAACCTCGGGGTCCTGGTTGGTCTTGTTCTTGAAGACGAGGACGGGCACGGCGCCCCAGGTCAAAGGACCGATCCAGGAGGCGACGGCGCTGCGGCCTGGGTGGAGGAAGCGGTCGAACTTGTGCACGTTGTTGGGGGTGTTGTCGCCGGCGGAGAAGATGGGGTTGACGACCAGACGGCGAGGACCGCATTGAACAACGAGCTGCTCCTTCGACTTCAGAGGCTCCTCGACGCTGGAGTTCAGGTGCATGTTGATGTTGACAACAGTGTGCTTGTGCTCGTGACGGAGCAGAGAGAAGAGGGATGTGGGCTGGGGGCGGCTGCGGAGGGTTGCTGGCACTGCCTTGAGGTGCACATCGACACGTACACCAGGGTTGACACCTCCGACGAGAGCCTCGCGGAGGAACTTGTTCCTGGAACCCTTGTAGTCCGCGAACTGAAGCAGACGGCGCCAGTCCTCCGGCTCGTGGGGACGGTCTTCTGATGTCTCCCAGGGGCTGGTCTTGAAGCTCTTGAGACCTCTGAAGCGGGCCAGACGCTCCCGAGCGAGAACGTTAGGGTGAAGCTCGATTTCGTCAGGGAACTCCAAATCTTCGTTGGCCTCGTTTCTGCGGCTCGCACGGAAATCCTCCAGGTCTTTGGCCTCGTCTTCTGGTGACGGGTCGACGAACATCTCTGACTGGGGATACTCCGATGGGCCAGCCTCCGTCATGGCATCCCTGTTGTCGGGGAAGACACCGTCTTCGGGCGCTCCCGCAGTGTCCATCTCCATCTCTTCAACTTCCTCCTCGTCTTCAAGGTCAGAGCCGGAATCGGACACGTCGCCCAAGAACCAAGCGGACTGGTACTCCGAGGTACCCTTTGGTAGCCTCTTGGGCTTTGGGGGGATGTGAGAATCGTCATCAGAGAAATAGTGGTGGTCGTCGAGGAGGACACCTTTGCGCTCTTCCTCAACAGGGAAGTCGTCATCCTCCATCTCAATCTCCTCTGGTGCTACAGTGGCCAGATCATCGCAGTCCGCAGAAGGTCCATCCAACAGCTGGGGAGCCTCAGTCTCATCGACATTCATAGCATCGTCACGCTTCCCGCGGGAAGTAGCGAGTGGTGCTGCTGTGATAGCACCAATCTGGAAGTCACCCCATCCAGGGATATGGACCAAGCGGTCCGCCTTCAGACCCTTGCCGCGGACAACACCGGTAACCACGACATCGTCGACCTCCTCCGCATTGGTTTCAGGCCACTGAACGTTTTCGACGAACATCCAGCTGCGCTCATCACGCCAGCGGATACCCTTGGGTGTAGCTGTGCAGAGGGAACGGATGGCGTTGGAACACTCCTGGCGAGAGTCCACCGAGAGGACCTTTTCGACGGACGGGAAAAAGTGGTTCGCAAAAGACTTGAGAGAAGCTGCCACCTGCGGGCGCTTCTTGGCCGGGTTGATCTGGTCCAAACCCTATACAAATTAGAGTCAGTTGTGAAAAGGCAACCATCGCCATATACGAGATACCCGAACTCACCTGAACCATGGCAATGACGTTCGAGATACCCTGACCCTCAATAGACCGCAGCAACAGCTCTCCTTGTTCCTCCACTTCGACTTGGGCGGAGAGCGCCAGGACCACGAAATCGGCCATCCGGCACACATCCAGAGCGTTCATCAAGTCATATTTCGCCGGAATGTACTGCAAGGTCTGGCGGAAGCGATCGACACGGACCCGAGTGGCGGAGTCTGGGGAAATCTCCGCGGAAACATCAACACTCTCGTTCAAGGCGCGGATGATGGCAGCCACATCGATATCAGCGGAAAGCGGCACAACGGCCACATGACGCGGTGCACCATTCTGACCGGTGAAAATGCTGACGGACTGCGCCTTCTCCTGATGCTTCAATTGCTGCTTCTGACGAGCCTGGTTCCGGCGATCGAGTTTGGATTTGAGCTGCTGGTGAGGGGTCTTGCGGGTGCCCCGCTCTTGTCCTTCGACCTTGCCTGGAAGTATGTCAGTCTATGATGCTATTTCAAGGAAAGAGACACATGAGGAATTCTCCGGCGCACGTACCCTTGGCCTTGTCCTTCAGCGCACTCTTGGAGGCATGGCGAGACTTGTATGGTTTATTGGAGGATTTGGTTGTGGAGCGGTGGTGATGCTGCACCGTCTGGGTGGGCGCCATGTTGGCACCACTGGACCCTTTGAATCGGTACGGAAGAGAGGCCAGCGTGAATAATTAAGAGAGCGAGAATAAGGCGATACACCTAAATACCAGAGATCACGAATAATAATAGAGTGGCCTCTAGAGGGATCTGGACCTGATACTCCGGCGGCGGTTGGAGAGGAAAAAATTAGGCGGTGGAGGAACAAGCGAGGAAA